TGTGTGTGTGTGTGTGTGTGTGTGTGTGTGTGTGTGTGTGTGTGTGTTTCTTCTGCCTCTCTGTGAGTGATGGCTGCTTGTGATCAAGGTATTTTCCCTTCGGTGCACATGGGAGCTTCCACATGGTGTCTATGCTGTGCAAATCTGTTAGTGATGCTGTTAGGATGTTGAAAAGATGAAAATATAAGTGTGAAGAGGAACCTCTTTTATTTTTGCATCTTGATGTTTAGTTTCAACTGACACAGTTTATCAATCATCATTAAATATTTGTTAATGACTTAGAGTTTACAAAGAGCTTTTACACATGATCTCACTGTGCTGTGTTAGTAGGAGTTAAAGATCCTTATTACTCATGTTCTCGTACATCTTATACCTGCTACAGTATAAGATATGAGACAGGAAAGGAAAAAGCTACAAAAATCCTTGAATTATTCCAGACTCAATGGTTTGTGTCATCATTGTAAAATAACTTTACCATCTGCAAACCATGCTGTAATCCCTTTGGCCAGCAGGGTGAGGTAGGAAGGTCACAAATTTGAGGATAATCTGGAAAGCCCAGCAAATTTGAGGTTAGCCTGAGCTACACAGTGATATCTCTTCACAGAAAAACAAAGGTTGGAGATAAAGTTTGTTATTAGAGCTTGTCCATCCCTAACCATTCACTAAAAGCAAACAAACAAAAAATTATATTGATGTGATTTTGCTACACAAAATGCAAGCATTTTAACATAATCAACTTGATACATTTGGGAACACAGGAATACTCTTAGAGGTATCACCACATTCACAAGAAAATACTATCACAATTAAAAACTTCTTTTTTGTGTGTCTGTTAAGGTAAGAGACTACCACATCACACTCCAAGACACAGTAGCATAGGACCCCCGTGGGCACAGTGCATTAGTGCAGACAGAATTCTCAGTATACCTGCCTTAGCGCAGCAAGTGCCCATTCCCCGTCCTTCAGCCCCTGGTGTCTCACAAGCCTCTGCTTCTTAGAGTTGGTCTCTGTTGGAAACCCTGTCTGAGTAGAATCAAAAGAATGGTCCTGAGCCTGTGTGTTTCACTTCACACACTATTATCCAATTCATCCATTCTTCCCTGGCAGCCTTTCTTACAGGCTTCTGAGAAAGGGAGGAGATTGCCAAGACCCTGCTGTCTCTTTGGTAATGATTCTGCTGCTAATTTTAGTTTTTCAGTATCATCAAGAAAAGCATAAGCTGCAGGAAACTCTAAACAACCTCCATTTTAAGTACAGCACCGTGCAAAATGACAGCATCTTAAAGGAAGAGAAGCTGACAAATAAGTCTAGAGAGTGTAATGCCCTCAAAGACCAGTTGGACTTCCTCGCCAGAGAATGGAACAGATGCTTTGGGAAAATGAAGATTATTTTAGATTGTTCACAGGACAGAGGTATGGAGGGGACTGTGAATTCAGAATTGCGTTATTTTGTATTGTTTCTTCTCCAGAAGCTTTGAAGTCCAGTTAGCAGCTTATAATGCTGATGATCTCTGGGTTAATAGTTTGGGGTTTCCTTATGTCATGTAGGGGCCTAGAAAATTGGAAATCCCTTTCTGGAAGAATTTTATAGTTTTTGGAACTCAGTGGCCATTCTGCCTTCCCTGCTGTTCCCACGATATGGAATCACAAGTCACCACAGTTGACAATTCAGGTCCTTGTGGTTTATGGGAAAATCTGAGTTTCCACCTTTGTTACTGACAGAATATGGAAGTTTTTAGTGAAAGTATATTTACCAAATATTTTGGCTAAAATGAACTTAAAGCATTTACGTGGACACAGTCATAGAAATAATTGTGTATGTGTTTTCCTTCTGAAATAAATGAGAGTGTTGGCCTGTTTGTGACAAAGGGATCCTCTCTGGAGTGCATATGAGAGCTTCATCATGCTTTCCACACTCTGACATCCTGTCAGTGACACAGTGAATGAGTCTAGAAAGATGAAAATATGAAGTGTTACAAGGAAGCGTTCTTGCTCTTCTTATGACTGGCTATGTTTAAATGACCTTATCACTTAAATGGTCTTATCATTCACTATTAAACATTTTTCAGGACTTAGAGTTTACAAAGAGCTCCTGCATGTGGTATCACTAGGCTGTGATAGTAGGGTGTGGCAATCCTCATTATTCGAGCACTAATAGTTTTTAAACTGCTACATCATAAAATATGTTACAGAAAAAGAAAAGGCTCCCCCAATATCTTTGAAGTGATTCAGACACATGGAAAATGTTTTGTGTCATTATTTTAACATGACTTCATCATCTGTATTTGGTAACATAATGCTGGAATCCCCATGATTATAAATTTGAGGACAATCTGGACATCCGAGCACATTCCAGGCCAGCCTGAGCTACATGGTGGTACCTCTTCACAGAAAAGCAGAAGTTGGAGATAAAGTTTGGCGATAGAGCACAGCCATCGCAGCACCTCACTAAACAAAACAATCATAGTGACATTTTATTGCTACACAACCCGCACATATTTTACTGAATTCAACATGACCCATGGGTATGTGGTCATATCCTTGAAGGCCTCAACACACTCAGGAGGACAGACTCTCATCATCTAAAGCGCCTCTGTGTGACTCATTTCTGTTAAGATAAAATTATTTTTTATAATTAATTTATATAATTTTTATAATTAATTTTTATAAAATTATTTCAGAGCTTAACATCTTATTTTATTTGAGCTTCATAAATGTGTTATTAAATTCTTAAATTAATGGCTAACATAAGGAATATATTTGCCTTTCTATATTTTTAAATGAGAGAAAATATAGATTTATATAGAACTGGTTTTCTTTACTCATTTCCATTTTACTCCTCTCCCTTTCATCGTTTTTTAATTCAGTGTTTTTTATTAAATTTTTATTTTTTATATTAAGTACAGTTTGTTTACTTTGTATCCCAGCTATAGCCCCCTCCCTTATTCCCTCGAAATCCCTTCTCCCTCCCCAAAGACTGCCTAGCAGTGTAGTAAAGCTATGCTGAGACTCATGGCCAAACTTTGGACAGAGTACAGGGAATCATATGAAAGGAGAGAGAGTTAGTAAGATGTGGAGAGAACAGGAGCTCCACAAGGACCAAATATATCTGGGCACAGGGGCTTGTCTGAGACTGATTCTCCGACCAGGGACCAGCATGGATATAACCTAGAACCCCTGCTCATATGTGGCCCATGGCAGCTCAGTATCCAAGTGGCTTCCCTAATAAGGGGAACAGGGACTGTCTCTGGCATGAACTCTGCAGCTGGCTCTTTGACCTCCCCACCCCCCATGGGAGGAGAAGCCTAGCTAGGTCACAGAGGAGGATATTGCAGCCAGTCCTAGTGAGACCTGATAAGCTAGGGTCAGATGGAAGGGGAGGAAGATAAGATTATTTAACAGAGCCCTTAGCACACTCCAAGTGCACTGTAGCATATGGGCCCCTGTGGACACAGTGCATTACTGCAGATCCAAGTTCTGTCCTTCAAGTAACTGCCTCTGAGCAGCTAGTTCTCATCGCCTGCCCTCCAGCCCCTGGGAGCTCACAAGTTCCTGCTTCTTAGCTTTGGGCTGTGTTAGATATCTCATGGGTGGAGTCAGAAAGGACAGTGTGAGCCTGGTTTGTTTCACTTTGCACAGTATCCTCAAGTTCATCCATGTTGGTCACATAGATCTGCATCTCTCTTTGGGAGCTTGGGTGTGAGGCATGGTTTCATTCTCTAGTCCAGGCTGTATCACTAAGGCTGACATGGAAGTTACCACTTAGCCTAGGCTGGCCTCAAACTGATGGAGATTCTCCTGCCTCACTCTTTGGTTATAGTCATAAGTCATCACCCCCAGCCGATTCATTTCTTCTTAAAGGATAACTAGTAATCTTCTGGGTGCATGTGCTACATTTTCTTCACTGGTTCATCCACAAAGGACACTCAGGTTGTTTCCGTGTCTCCACTGTGATAAACAATGCTGCCCAGTGCACTGCTGTTCAGGGGCCTCTCAGCATTCTAGAGTCTCAGCTTCGGAGATCTGCAAGATTTTATGTAGTTACAGATGTTTCATAGCTACATTGCCCTGATAACAGAATAACAGAAATAACAGAAAATAAGACATTCACCTTTCCTGTTGTAGGCAAACGTGCTGAAGGACGCTGGTTCTGCTGTGGCATAAAATGTTATTATATCATCATGGAAGATAAAGAGTGGAGGGAATGTAAACAGACCTGCCAGGATTGCAGCTTATCCCTCTTGAAGATAGATGACGACAGTGAAAGGGTATGGTAGACAATTACTTGTCCCTTTATTCTCTTAGACTCTCCCGCTCTAGCTCTTGGGTAGTGAGATACTAAACCCTGGCATTTTTAATTTTGAAAGAGAGACCTTTATGGTTACGTATTGTTTTCCTGTAATGTGAGCAAAACTGTGCAGTGAGAGTCCCAGGCGACTCCCTCCTGCTCCACACTTAGTGCCAGGACACGGGGTCTGTTAAGAGGAGATTTGTTACTGCAGGGACAGTGTGTCCTTCAGTCTTCTCCCTTTCTTGGGGGTCTGCAAGAAAGTCCCTCGGGGAAGCCTGGCTTTCGCTGATGGAGCTTACCCCTCTGGTATAGCACATCATGTGACTGACAGGTCGTTATCTCCATGGAGTGCTAACTAAATCCCCACAGGCCACTGTCTAGAATTTGCTCTTTGGAACCCAGAAGTGAGACAGTCAGAGATGAGTAATTGGATGACAACAGAGAATGTAGTTGCCCTCTGGGACTAACTGGAAAATGGAAATGATATGAAAATCATGGAAATGAGTGGTATTACCAGTTACCCTCATGGTGGTTTTCACTGAAACCGTCTGTAATATTGACTTCCTATTTTTCATATGTTTCGTAACAAGATATCTATCTTTAGAAATGAATACTGAAAAGAAAATAAGGTTGCCAAGATGGTGATATTTTCTGTTTAAGTTATTACAAAAAAATCTCTTCAAATATAGAGACTTTTTTTCTATCTAAATTATTACAAGATCACCTTGAAAACTTTGTTATTCAGAACATAGTTCAATATTTGTATACCAACTGAATACATATTTAAACAACAACATAAAATGATTTTAATGTCAAATAATAATATAATCTTCCATTTGAAACAGCATGCATAATAAAATTTAAACCCACATTTTAAAATATATTCAGTAACTTAATTAGACATCATGTCACTCAGATGTCTCATGTAAGACATTCTAAATACCACCAAATATCTATCCATCTCCTCTTCAAGCTCTGTCACTTCCTGATCTTAACAAGAGAAAGGCTTTCTACTGCAACACGGAGCTTAATGCATAGATTTTCACAAAGGATTTTTTTTTATCTTATAAATTTTCTTTGACGAAAGGGCATTACTTCCCATATGAACACTTCTACATGCTTCCGTAGTCTTTGAACATGTTGAATAATTTTAAATTTGAAATAATTTCACATTTGAACAATTTCACCGAGTTTCAGAAATTGTTTAATGATCCATCCATGCAGTGTGCATTTATGAGCCTTAAGGTGGAATATTGTGAGATCAAGGATAACCTTGGTTACATAGTGAGACTTGCTCTGAGAAACACAGTCACAAATCATGTCATGAACCCAGCATCTCAGGATACCCGAGGTTTTGTTTTTAAATAACTTATTAAAGTGACATCAGTTTGATATCCATAGGCTTCTTGTGGGGAGCCACTTCAGAAAATGAGCATGGTGCAACTTAGCATGTCCTTCTCCAAAGGACAGTAGAGAACTGACATAGGAATGCTGGGACCTTTTCCTGGTTGAGCTTTATTTCATCAAAAAAGAGAAACTTTATCATAAAGGTATATTGTTGCCTCCACAGAGGTTCCTTCAGCTCCAGCTTTCTTCAAAGAGTTACTGGATTGGATTCTCATATGATTCAAAATAAAGAAATGGACATGGATTGACAATGGCCCATCCAAACTGTGAGTTTCTGGGAAACTTCAAACTCTACCACTGGGGCAGGGGGTGGTGAGGATTGTGTTTAAAGGCTTGTTTTCCCAAACACATGGGTTTCCTCATTTTTTATGGGGCTCATGGTAAGAACAAGATGCATAAGGCAGTGTCTCAGCAAGTGTTAGACAGGGAAGATGTATGGTCAAGGAGCTGACTAAAAGAGGCTTAATTCTGCGTACATCTCAGGATTGCGTGTGCTAAGATGCACAAGGCACAATCAAATCAATGGCTCAAGATGATGTAAAGTGACTAAATCATCATGACAGATACAATGAAGATGAGTATCTCAAACTTTCTTTTTACTGTAGTTTGACTTTTTACTGTAGTTTGCTTACACAATTGCTTGTTATTTATAAATATAAGAACATATTTATACACACACATACACTCTATCTATCTATCTATCTATCTATCTATCTATCAATCTTCTTTCCATTTCAGGGTGTTGTGTTGTATAAACTCCAAGTTTTATGTTTATTTATAATCTTATAGAAAAATATTGACTGACTACCTTATCAGTAATATTTCTTTTTCTTGAGTATCTCATATATATAAAGTATAATCATATTGTCCCTTACTAACCCCCAAATTTTTTCTGCAGCTCCAACATATGCCCTGCTGATAAAAAAAAAAAAAAACCCACAAAATCTCAGTCTCTTGATTTTACCAATAAAGACTTAGGATCCAGATATTTTGGAGTGAAAACCACAGCTCAGAGAGGCAGAAGAAAGCACTCAACTGATCATCCTATTCAGCCAACATCCCATAAGGAAAAAGCTGAAAACTAAAAGCTAAAAGCCAACATCTTGATAGCTCAGCTGACAGCTGAGGAGGAAGAAGCCAAAAGCCCTTTCTTCTTCTCCACTCTGTCGTAAATACACTTTTCTCAATGTCCCTCACTTCTGTTTAATCCCTCCCAGGTGGTTTCTTTCTCTGCCTCTTGACCTAAGTATTTAGCTCTTGGAGTAAATGTGTGTGCTAGGACTAAAACACCCACAACTAGAAACAGGGTTTTACAGTTCACAGTCTCAGGGTTCACAATGAGATCAAATATCCTGCAACAGTGCCCCTCTAACTCATGTCTTCTTAATTAACTGGATGTAGGCCGTCCACTGGAGCAAGAAAACCCAGCATTGGCCACACCCTCAATAAAGAATGAATCTTCCTTTTCTAGCAGCCGTTGCCTACCAACAGTAATTTCTCATGATGGAAAGAACCCTTCTTCATCTTTGCAGAAATTTCATCTTGTCTAGAATGCTGCATTTCACAGAGCTTCTCCCCTTCTCTGGATTTTACATTCTTTCTGTTTCTTCTTTCTTGATATTCCCTGAGTCTTGCCAGTGGTTTGCAGGGGAGGGGATTAATGTAGATGCCTCCTTTGGAGCTAAGCACATATTCTCTTCTCCTAAGCCCTTGGACCAATTCTGCCTCACTCCACAGACCACCACCCACTGTTAAAAGAAGCTTCTCTGATGGAGGATGAGAGCACCACAGGCCTATGCCATAAATATAAATATTGAAAATGCAATTTGACCGCCAGACCACTTAGCAAAGTGATTGTAGCAAAGGGACTGTAGGGCTTGTGACCTTCCTAATTATGAACTTTTGATTTGGATTACAACACCAAACATGATTTTTCTTACGTGGTAAAGGCCTCAATTCCAACAAGAAAGAAGTTACTTACCCTATAACATGTGCCACTGGGCACAGCTTGCCAAGCAGGTCAGTGTTGTGCAGGTCACTGCAGGATCCAGTGCTGGGTTAGGACGACTCAAAACTTTTCCTGCCCTGCAGCCTGCAACACACCTGCTGACCCTTTGAGAGCCAGCGCAGGGGAGGAGATTTCCTGATTGATTTGACACTAATTTCTCTATGTTCCAACATCCACCTGTGTGGTGTCTTTGGCAGTAGGATCTTACCGTGTAGTTATGATGGAAACCAAGGGCAGTGGCCAAAGCCTGTGCTATGTTCATGATCTCTGTGGTCTCTCTTACTAGTAACTGCTCTGGATGTATCCTACCTTGGACCTTGAGTTTCTTTTAGTAATCTTCTGTGATTGTAACTCTTTTTTAAAGTTAAAATATTTATCTCTTAAATTACATGTTTTTGTAGAATATATTTTGATCAGGTTTCCCTTTCCCCTAAATACTCCTGGTTCTTCCTCACCTTCCTACCCACTCAACTTCAAGTTATTTTTCTCCCCCCCCCAAAGAAGAACAAGACAAAAAGAGAAAATAAAATCAAGCAAGCAAAGAAACAAACAAAAACCCCAGTAAGACAGAAAATTTCCCCAAAGCAAGCAAGGACACAAACAAAGAAACAAACAAACAAAAAACTCTAAACCACAAAGCAAACATGGAGCTTGTTTTGTGTTGGCCAACCACTAACTAGTCAATTACTAACTAGCCAATTACTAACAACTAGCTGGTTTCCATAAAGCCTTTTATACATCCTTAGTTTTGGCTAATCCATCCTTTACTCTCTCCTGTCCCTTATTTTCCAGTACTTAACTGCTTTTGCCCTTTAATCCTCAAAATCCTGCTTCTGCCTTCCTATCATATATTTATCATTGTTTCTTATTATTCATATTTTCAAAACTACAATTTTTAAAAAAATCTCTTAATACTCCTGTGTTTGTCTTGATAAGTTTGTTTGGTAGTTGAATTTTAAGTTGATTTTCATATCAATGAATGTAATTTTCATTACTTTTGTTGTTATTTTGAGATAGGGATTCATTTCACCCAGGCTGCCCTTGTACTCTTGGCACTCCTGTCTCTATCTCTCTGGTGTTGGGACTACAGGCAAGTATGTCTTTCCTGAGTTTTATCCCTTAAACGATGTCACTAATAAGCATTTTACATCTGTTCATTGGTAACCCTACTGTCTGTATTTTTGTGGGTTTAATGTACTGTTCCTGCTCTCTTATGTTCATGATGTCATTTTCCTGTGGTAGTCACTGAGTTTGGTCTTCAGCAGCTGCAGAAACTCTCTGAGGTGTGGTATCCACAGAGATAACTTCTTCAGGAACCTTTCGTTCAGTGCTTGGGATCATGGCAGGTCTGGGTTACTTCTTTTCATGTGGGTGTGGACAGCTAGTTTCCAAATATGCAGGAAAATAACTTCCTCTCTTTCCTCTGATGACACTATCAAGCAGGCTGTCCCAGAGATGGCCAGAGGACAGACAGCCTTATAAGATATGCTAATATATTCTAATCAGCGAAAATATTAGTACTGCTATTGATTTTGTTTTTTTGCTATGAAGTATCATTTTACACAGACTATCCCTAGTCTTCCTGGCTTTATCTCCCAAGCACTGAGATTTCTGGTGTTTGCCATCATGAACTGGCCACAGAGTTATCAACTTTCTTTATAGCTTACAGCATCATACAGAGTCAGAGATGGGCAGGGGTAACATTTAGTGAGGTGCCAGGAGCTGACTATGCTACAGAACTCTTCCTGGATGGTGGTGCTGATTCTATGGCCAGATCTGAGGCTTCACTGAGGAAACTCAGTGGTCATGTTCCTGTGGCCACCACAAGCATTTTCTCCAGTGAGCAGGTGCAGAAGCTTAAACACCTGCTTACAGTGTAAGATTCTTCCAACAAACCCTGTGAGCAGCTGTGAACCTAAACTTGTGTTTCTTGGGTGTGGCTGAAGTGGGCATCACTATGGTGGGTAAAGTGAAGAGCTCACGATGCAAAATATGTGCTTCGTGTGTATCTGTGAACAGTTAGTGTCTGCTGGATCCTGTTCCTCTTTGCCCGTGTTCAATGCTCATGCTTCATTGGTTGTACCATAATCCTATCTCATGGCTGGTTAAGGTGTATGCTCATTCTTGCTGTATCTCTCCTCTCCTGTCTGTGACCAATGGGTCATTTGCTTTACTTCTCTTCCTTTGTTTTTTCTGTAGTAAATCTAAATGCTCCATTTCTCCCTGGTTAAATGCAAGATTAAGGAAAAATGAACTTTTGTTAAACTTTATCTCTCTGCCATTTCTGCCCCCATGGAGTCTGGTGGATTTTATTCTCTTTCTGGTGTTCTTTGACATAGATTCTCATCAGGCTAGCCTGTTTCAAACTCACTTTTATTTCTCAACCTGCCTTGAATTCCTGATCTGCCCAGATTCATATTTAGTATTTGAATGATCATTTTATATAGCTTTACTATTCATATTGCCCTATTAGGAGAGAGACTGTTTGCCATGCTCTGCTGATCCCCTGAAGTCTGTAAGAATCCTGAATGTTCAGAAGTGCATTGAATAAGGCTCTAATTATCAGTTAATATTTAATCAGGGTGTCCCTATATCCCCTAGTCTGACCTGGTTTATAATCCTTCTAACTCAGCCTCCCAAACAGTGAGGTTATAGGCCCGCCTCACCTTTCCTACTGTTTTATTTTTTAATCAATGTTTTAAATTATTTTTTTTTCTGAGAAGGTAGTTGTGGCATTAACACACCATTCTGCAGAGATGGCAGTTGTGTTACATGCAAGGGACTCAGTGGAGCATCGTGTTTCAGTGAAGTCCCATTAGCTCTGAGGTGGGGGAAGAGAGAAATCAACAACAGCAGTTACACCCCTTCTTCTGTGCCTGAATTCTAAACCTTTCTTTTCTCCTTAAAACAGGGCATATCAGACCTTGTCCGTGTGCCACATAACGTATTTCTTCATTTTAACTGTCTTTATTGCAGAAAGCATTAGAGGAAACCCACTTTAATATAAAATTTTCCCTTAGCAATACTGAAAATTAATTTAACTTGCTAATGAGTATATGATGAGTTCAGTTTTGATTAGGAGACCATTTTTATTTCATTTATTTTTGTGTGTTATGCATACACATGTGCATGTACATTACACAGCACCAGTAGTCACAGGAGAGTTAAAGAATTCTTACTCTTCTACTGTGTGGGGTCTCAAGCCTGAACTCAGGTTGTCCGGTTTGGTGGTAGTCCACACCACCAACTGACCCCTGT